GGCTTTTCCTGGGGCCCAACACCTGCCCCCCCCCCCCCCCCCCCAAATCTAACGCATCATGCCTGGAGAAAAACCGTCCAAGTACATTACTGCATCTTTTCGTAAGTTGCCATTAAAGACCCTAAAGGTTTCGAATGTTAGTATGTATTCCTGTAACGCTGGGGCTAATTTGTGTGGGGGCTTACCAATGAACGTCGTGACCAGGCGGCTGCTCACTTGGCAGATATCTTCTGGCACTAGCCAGATCGTTGCTCCCATCTTTCTGGCGATACTGATGCTGAGCTTGGCATTCAAGTACGCATCCTCGTCAGTTCGGCCTGGGGTCACAAGGTCGTAGTCGACATAGCTACTCTTCATGCCGTTCAGAACATCCAGCAAGAATACTCCGGTACCGATAGCGGGATCTTTGAGGGATCGGATGGATGAGTTTCGGCCACCCTTCTGGGACATACTGTTCGCCCATTTGACGATCTCAGCATCGGTCATTTCACGCTTTCCAAGTCGCTGCGCTAGATCCGAAAGCGTCAGAGTGATGTCCTTTCTCATGAGTTGCCAAATGAGTCCCAGCGTGAGCATCTTCTGCCCATCCGTGATGTCCGCGCCCTGGACTCCGACCAGAGAGAATCCATTTTGCTTTCCTAGTTCGATAGCGTAGTTGGTGTTCTCGATTGCCTTGAACCTCATGACCTCACCACCATTTGCCGGTCTCTTGTTGACGTGTCTCCAGTTCACGGAACCCTTGATGACCTTGTCATATGCTTGTAGTAGGGTAGCGCCGTCCCGAAGATCGTCGAAGATAGAGACAACTGGAGGTTGCACATCCAGACTGTTGAGCCATAGTGTGAATACTCTGGCTTCTCGCTCGCCCTCAGCGTCAAAATCATCTACCTCTTGCTTCTCCTCCTCAGTGATGGGATCCAAGCACGGATGGTTATTGAACAGGTTGGCAACGAAAGCAAGGTTCAGTTTCGGGTTTCCAGCAACGAGAGACTTTGGAGTCAAGAACTTTCGGCACTCAAGCTTGTCGGAGTTGATCAGCACCTCCTCAGCCCGCTGCAGCAGATCAGGGATCTGCAGCGGGGCACGGGTGATACCGTAGTCCTTGCCGATTTGTGACAGCAGAACGGTGTAGTTCTCTGCGTCCTTGACATCAGTCGAAAAGTTGGAGACCGTGCGGTGCCACCCAGCTGCTTTCAGGTGGTAGTTGAACCATCTCAGCAAAATCTGCTCCGGTGGCAAACGCAAGAATTGTTCAAGTGTCTCGTCTTCTTCAAGCAGTCGGTACAGTTCGGGGTGCAATTTGATGTCGATCTTGCCCAACAGACCTCTTCGGATAATTTGCCAGATCAAGCCCAGAATCAGGTGCTCTCGGACTTCGATGATATCCCCGCTGCCAATGTTGACAACAGAGCAACCAATACCCTTGGCGGATTCAATGACGATATTGTTGTTCTCTGTCATATGGAAAGCATTCAGCGTCTTGATCTTCCTGCCGGGTACGTTCAGAACACGCTCGTCGATGGTGTCCGGCACGCTATCGTTGATGAGCTTGGCTAGCACAAGACCATCCCTGCACTGGTCGAACATTTCGAAGGTATCGGTAGGGAAAGGCAGTCGGTCGTCGATATCGGCGTCGCCGGCCAAAACGGCGTTGATATGGCGAGTAAATTCGGTGCGCTCATCTTCGTTGATGGTATGTGTGACGTTGGCGCTGGAACCTTGAACTTGGATTCTTCCAATGCTGCTCTTGGGGGCATGTCCTTTCCCGCCGGTTCGTTGGGCCACAACGCCACCCGGGGATCCCGGTGCAGCACCGCCAGTTGACATGCGCTGCTGGGCGGGAGATGATGAACGAAGTCTAGCGATCAACTACCGATGTGCTTGAGTCAGAGGCTTTCAATTTATGTCGGAAACTGCTGATGAAAAACTTACGTCGACATAATCTTCTAGCTCGACTCTCCGTGATGAATCGAGTTCGACCTCCTTCAAGGCCTGTCTCACGACATCGTAGGACTGTCGTTCGCTCGTCTGGGTAGCCTTAATAGCGGTGGCCTCGTCGATATAACCCTTGTCGTCCACATCCAGTTTGCGGAAGGCATCGGTAAGGCCGTAGATATCGCCTTGTTCGAACTGAGGATATTTCCTAACCCAGAGCTGTCAGTCCGGGATTTCCGTGATCTAACAATAGCCGAAGGGAATCAAGTGTTTCCTTACCTCTGGAGCTTGAGTACATTCATGGTGTCGACACAGTCGGATTGAAAGGTGTCAGACAAGTTAACAAATATGTTTGAGTATTGATTGAGAAGTGTCGTAAGGCGATCCCACGTCGCCTCGAGGAAAGCTTCTTCGATCAAATATATAAAGATGGGTGCCTGGCGTGTGAGAAGAAGCTATGACAAGACCGAGGCCAGGGTCTACGCAAGTCAAGAACACAGGCAGCAGAATTGGAAAATCCTACTGACTGCTATTTGTTGACTAAAACGCCAAAGAGTTCAAATTGGCGGTTGATGGTCGATGATTGAGGGTTTTTAGTAGGGAGAGGCGGGAAGAGGCGGGAGGAAGCGAGATCGTCGCAAGCCAGGTCAAGTCAAGTCAAGGCAAGGCAAGACAAGCCGAAATGACAGGTGAATTGTATGTAGGTATGTATGTATGTAGGTACGTATGTAAGCAGGTAACTAGCAGGCAAACAGGTTAGGTTATGTAGAGTTAGAACTTAGGGTAGGCCGAAAGGCTCCCACTCACTAGTCAACTGTTCTGCAGCTCAGGTTGCTTGCTGTCTGGCTGTCCGGCTGTCTAACTGCCTGTCTGCGGGGGAGGGGAAGCAGTAACACGACACCCGGTCCAGCCTTGCAGTTGCCGCCGTCGCAGCATAAGCAACATGATGTAATCCATGAACTCCTACAAAAGTTTCATCCAGGCGGACTTGGCAGGCTTGGCATTGCACAGCCACATCACTTGCGTCTCCCGTTACGCAAGTAGAAAACAAGCCAACGGTAATTTTAAGGAGAGTATTTTAAGTACGACGGGATGTACGAAGTATGTAGATGCGAAGTCCTCGGTCCTTTAGAGAAATCGTCAGTCCGACATAATCTCCGATTCCCCGTGAATTCGGCTTTTCTACTGTAGTATACAGCCACGCCTACCTCATCCTGCTTGTCTAATAAAATGGATATCTGTTTCAATCTTAGCATTAATAACAGCCTTATGACAAGACCCTACTTAGGCATCAAAACCTGTCATGTCCGATAGTTCCCGCCTCGTCTGTCGCATTGTCAATCGTCAATCCCAACCCCAACATCAATGCTTGACGGCTGCCAGCATCACAAGCACACAGCAATATGAACAGCGAGTATGCGACGGGGATACTACAGACGACTACCGAGGGCAATATAAAAAGCTTCGGTTTAGTTGTCTAGTATTCTGTCGGAATTGTCTACGATTTTACTATACGATACGGGTTGTGTTGACGCTCTTTGGTGGTAAA